AAAAAAAAAAAAAAAAAAAAAAAAAAAAAAGTAAATAATTCTTTGATTCCCCCTTGCTTAATCTAACCTAAAACAACTTTGATTAAAAAAATAATAAAACCTCTCAATTGGCCCTCCTTTGGGGATCATTACGTAGAGGAAGTAAGGGTGAGTGCATAAATTTTAAATTTTGAAATATTTTTATTTAACCTTGAAGTTTCTTAAAATGGGAAAAAACCCTCACAAATATATCATCTCATCTTAGTTACAAGTAGAATTTGGCAGATAGAGCTGCTAAAATGTCCTTCTAAAAGAGAGTTTTGCTCTTTTATATCATTTTAGTTAATAAGCAGGATACCAGATGTCATAAATGAAATATATTAGAGTTTCCTGAATAGACCAGAAAACATTTAAATATATCTGCTGTGTCACAGACCTGCATGAATGAAATGGATGACAGAGAGAAAATATTTTTGTTTTTAATCCAAACTGGTATTTCAAGGCTGTTCAAGTGCCAGGATTAAGTCAAGCTGCAAAACGACACCTCCCTGATATTTGCTGATGGATTTTAATTTCTTAGACTCTTACAAACCACATGGTTATTTATTTATTTTTTAATCCTTACCCGAGGAGTGAGGATATTTTTTCCATTAATTTTTAAAGAGGGGGGAGGTGAAGGGGGGAGGAGAGAGAGAGAGAAGCATCGATGTGAGAGAGACACACTGATTGGTTGCCTCCCGCATGCACCGGACTGACCAACTGACTGGGGACAGGGATTAGCGACCCTCTAGTGCTGCTGGCCAGGGCAAACCACCTGGTTATTAAACGAAGTCATTCTCTAACACAAGGGAAGATGACAGGTGGGGAAGAAACCTGACGGTTGGGTGTGGATGCGGTCTGTAACAATAAAGTGATGTAAACAATTATGTAATATGAAGCACAGTTAGCCATCCACAAAGTCTCAGCTATTTCTTGTACCAACACTGCATTTCTGAGGTGAAATACTTAAACTTTATTTGGTCTCAGCTTTAAAACTAATACTTAGCTTTAATCCAAATTGGAATAAAAACCCATTATGAATTAAGTCCCATTTTACAATGAAACTTCCACTTATTAAAAATAATGTTTATCATACAATCATACAGTTTTTAAAAAACCAATCTTATGTGTTCTCTAAAAGTATGTGTGATGATTTTTAATGGGGGAAACACTCTGAAATTCACTTATTCTACCTCCAGGAAGGTTTAAATGTAATAAGTATTCACTAAGTGTCACACGCTCCTGCTACTGCTGCAGCTGTAGTTACACAATACCACTGGATCAGAATCAATTCCAAATAGATCAGAATTGAAACTTTTTTTAATTTTAAAAGAGCCATAAGAAACTAGAAGAAAAAATAATTTTTAAAGAAATCTCTAGATGGGAAATAAATTTTAAACCTTAAAAATGATAACTGAAATCAAAGAAAAAGATAAATTGACTTGTCTATATAAAACTATTATACATTTTTAAAAAAACAATTTGGGGAAAATATTTCCACACATGA